GGCAATCAATGAGTGAGTGCTTTGAAGAATCTGGCTCGAAAACCCAAAACTCACAGAAAGCCATCTGCTCATCTCAAACCAGAACCCAGTTCATATATAAGAAGGTGATTGATGATCATTGTTTGAAAGCATCTCTCTTCATTACGATCATTGAATAACTACCCACAAGAATCATTTTTTCATTCAAGCCCACACGGGTTTCTGCTTTTTCTGATCTCCGAAAAATCTCCGCCTATAGAACTAACGGTGAGAACAAAAAGAGAGAACAAGAATCAAAGGCAAATTGACGAGTGGAGAGACGAGAAGAGCGACCTTCACAAAGAATTGTCAGTTTCCTCATGCTGATGTCCATTGATGTTCAACGCGTTTATCTAATAGTCTATTCAGGAGCGACGAGGGAGCAAAATACTCTTAGCTTCAGGTGGATTTCTGGGTTTTTCGGAAAACCTCTTATCTGAGATTTTGAACAAACAATTCAGAAATAAAGAAAAAGATAATGTGCAGTTGTGTGTTTTCAGAAGATTGAACAAAATGGGATTTATTCGTTTTTGTCCACAGAAAGGAACATATTTATCAAAATTGAAAGCTCCTTTCGCAGATAAAATGATCCTGATTGGTAGGAGAATAGGCCCGCCATATCCCATCGGAGCTATGAAGCTGAAATGTGTTCATTTCTGATGGAAATCTTTTGATAAAACGCTCTGCGTTATTCCACAAAAAGAAATTTTCTCAGATTGATCGAAATGTTTTTGGATTAATTATGCATTGCAAATTGGAATGAATATTGATTATTTCACGTCGAAAATCTCACATAAGCGTGGGTGTTCGAACCCGGCTGTTCCGAAGTCCAATTCGTGAAATCCACGGAACTTCCATCCGTCCATTCAAAAGCATTTCCTTTGTCCGGATTTCTCTGAATAAAGAAATTTTTATGTTTCACTGTTGATATGTCAACCAAATTTTTTTCATTTTAGAAACATTCTAGTTTCTCAATTGAAACCATTATTTCTACCCAAGAACTACCAGTCAAACGAATCATTCTTTCACAAAAAGCCTTCCGGAAATGGCGAAAGAATCATTAGTTTCTATATATTTATTAGGTTGTCGGATTATGAATTGCCGTTGTCTTTTTTGCTTTGTATTTTTTTCAAATAAATTTTTGTGGTACTTTTTAACTATATTAAAGAGCGTTTTCTGCCGCGTCGATTGATATATTATTCGTCTATCTTTGCTTAGATTTTTAATATAAATTTGTCTTAGGAAATGAAAGACATCAAAAATAAAATGGGAATTTGTTTGTTGTACGACTTCAAACAAAGAAAAACAGCGGCAGAATCCCATCGCTCTATAAGCAATGCATCTGCAAGAAACCCTGTAAGTTTTGGTTTTTAGTAATGGACTTCGAAATGATCTAGATTTTAAAGCGTAAATAAAATGGTTTTTTGTTTTATTTGCCAATCTTTTAGTTACTCGAGTTGTTAAACAATTGTTTTCAGAAGCTTGAATAAAATGGGATTTATTGGTTTTTGTCCACTGAAAGGAACACAAAGCATTTATCAGAATTCAGAGCTCCTTTTGCAGATAAAACGAAACTTAGAGGTAGGATGATAGACCCGCCATTTCCCATCGTCGCTCCAAAGCTGAAATGTGTTAATTTCTGATGGAAATCCTCCGATAAAATACTTTGCGTTATTTCACAAAAGGAAATTTCCTCAGATTGATCCAAATATTTTTAGATTAATTACGCGTTGAAAATTGGAATAAGTATCAATGATTTCACGTTGAAAATCTCACAAAGGGCTGGGCGTTCGAACCCGACTCTTCACGACTCCAATTCGTGAAACCCACCGAACTTCCATCCGTCCATTCATAAGCATTTCTTTTGTTTTTCTGAAGCAAGAAATTTTATGTTCCACTTTTGATATTTCAACCAAATTTTTTTCCATTTTAAAACCATTCTAGTTTTTCAATTCAAATTAGATTTCTATCAATTTCCATTTTCACAAAGAGCCTTCGGAAAATGGCTGAAAGAATCATTACTTTATTTATTTATGTTTTTCGATAAGAAAAATTCAACCTTCAGTCCGATCCAGAAGCCATATCCCGAAGTAACGTTTTTCGCTGAAATAAATATCGATTGTTTTTGTATAAACCATAAACTCCTACGAAAATCATGAATTTTCCGAAATGAATCATTTCGATTTCTTACCGAGTTTCTGAATAAAATCGTTCTCTTCCTGACTGTGAATTGAGACTAAATGGCTGTTTTGACTCGCACAATATGCGACGGCTTGATCAAATGTCATTCCTTGATCGAAAGCCTTGAGATGAAGATAATCCTGGTTCACAACCCCCACCAAACCTTGTACCAAGAAGCGGTTTTTGCCAAATACGACCATCCTTCCAGATCCAAGAGATCCAAGTGAGTCATCGTTTTATATCTGAATTTCTTCGAAAAACTTTACTCCAGATTTTTTCAAATGGATTTCCATCAGAAAGGAACACATTTCAGCTTCAGAGTAGTGATGGGATATGGCTGACCGATCTTGGTAGCAATCAGGATTATTTTATCTGCAAATGCAGCTCTCAATGCTGAGGAATGCTTTGTGTTCTTTTCTGTGGTCAAAAACCAATAAATCCCATCTTTCAATTTTTTTCAATTTTTTCAATTTCAATTCAATTTTCTGAAAACACACAACTGCACATTATTTTTTCTTTATTTCTGAATTGCTTCTTCAAGATCTCAAATAAAAAGTTTTCCCAATAACCCAGAATTCCGACTGGAGCTGCAAGTATTTCGCTCTCTCGTCGCTCCTGAATAGACTATTAGATAAACGTGTTGAAGATCGATGGACATCAGCATGAGGAAACTGACAATTCTTCGTGAAGGTCGCTCTTCTCGTCCCTCAACTCGTCGATTTGTCTTTGATTTTTGTTCCTGAAGTTCTCAAAGATACGGTTTAGGCTTTTTTTCGACTCACTGTTGGTTTTCTAGACGGAGATTTTGGTCTTTTTTTCGCTTATCATAATGATTAAGCAAGTAGATAATGTATGTATGTATTGTAGATATAATGAGCTGTATATGTCTTTATAGTCAAAAAACGAATGAAACCCCATTTTCAGACGCAACTTGTTCGAAGAAATCGTCTTTCTTCTTTGAAAGGCTAATGATTTTTTCTAATTTTCTTGCTATTGTTGTTTCTTTTTTGTGTGTTCTCCAATAAATTGTTCAACTCATTAATTTGAAACTTAAACGGGTTACTGATGCCTAAAAAATTTGTTAAAAGTCGGCTATCGGCTCTTAAAATATTATCGAGAAATAAAATTGCCACATTAAGTAGCGATATGCAATTCAAAATCATTTAGATTAGCAAAGAAAACCGGTCCGAAATGAATTAGTTGTATCCGTGGAAAAGAAAGTGTCAGCCAGCCGGAGGGATGCTGATAAATCTTATGAAAAGACAATTAAAATGCCAAGTTAACAGGTCGGCGAGGGACAAGTTCCCGATTCATTGTAGTATAAGTGTAAAGTTTTTTAGAGCATTAGCTCTTTCTAACGATAAGTTTACTTTCAAATATGGTCGTCTTACTTTTCTAGCTTCAAGAAGCCGAGGAAGAACGAGGATAACCATCCACTCATCAGACCTGAATCCACTTTACATCTGGCTCAATTTACGCTCAAAAGAACGGAAAAGACGAAAAGAAAAGACGGTCGTGTGTTACTTTTTCAATCCAACAGATCTGGAATATGATTTGGCCAAGCAGGTAGCTTTTCGAGATCAATTCAATTCAGTTCCCACAGTTTAGATGCTCGCAATGATAGATTCGAAATTAACCACTCCAAACGTTTTTAAGTATCGTATCAAAAAGCTGGTGGGTTTAATTGGACAGCAATGTAAACTTAAAGAATTTAGACTAGGTCTATTCAAAAGCATATCAATGGTTGACGAACTTCGTTCAGGCGATAAAGCCTCAAAAATGGCAAGTGAGGTGTTCCGTTCGTTGAAAGATGAAGGTGAGTATTCAAAGTTAAATAATAAAACAAAGTTAAAACTTTTGGAACATGAATGGAATGCGGAGATTATTGGAGATATTTACACAAAAGTTGGGCTTAACCTGAAAAAAGCTGGAATCATCAAGAACATCATCGCAACCGGCTATGCTCTAGGGCATTATCTAGCTTTTTTTGTATGCTACCATTTTCAGAACAGAGGTGGGTTTAAAAAGCTAAGTAATTCCATTTTACCAGCCATTTGTTGAGAAAAACGTTTCGCTGCTCTGGTACAGAAATAAAAAAAGAATGGGTTTCTAGCTAAGACAAAGTTTAGCTACTCGGTCAGCTTGATCGAGAGATGCGTGAAATGATGCAGGAAATTTATACGGCTTTTACAAGTGGAACCATCAACCAGGAAAAAGTCCAAAAGCTGAAGTATCGGATGCTCTTTGGTGGAGGCGGTGAAAGAGTCCAGAAAGTGGGAACAACAGTTGGTAAGCAGTAAAATTATGGCTTCAAGGTCATTGCGCAATAATTTTCTATAATGCCATTTTAGATAATACGACCGAGAATCTTGCTTTCCTGGTCGATCAGCTTGAGCTCGATGAGGTTTAAGAAGCCCAAAAAATTTCATTTTTCTTGGAAATATTAAGAGCCATTCCGATTGATGTGCCAATAAAAAGCTTTACGTTAAGTGATAACTTATCTCGTTAAGGATATTACTTCTTCTTTTACTGGAATTATATTTCTACCAAGATTTATTTTTCAAATAAGAAAACAAATGGGAATTTTGAAAATTCAAAGAGACCAAAACAGATTACCAGCTGGCCTTTGGCTTGCTTTGAGAAGTAGCCAAAAATTAGTACAAGAATTTACAAATTAGTTAACCAAATCGAATAAGAACCGGTGCGAAAAGGACAAACAGTTTCTTGGAAATCACCTCGGAAATTTTGAACGGGTGATGGAGATTTACAGAATGGACACGATTAGGTCAACGTTTTGCTCACTCTCTTTTTCCACCGTCCGTAGTATCGCTCTCTTCTTTTGGCAACTCATTCCCCTTACAGAAGACGTCATAGAATTGACAATCCAACGCTTTTCCATTCTCGTTTCTAAACAATCCACACATTTCAGCTTTGGAGCGACGATGGGACATGGACGGTCAATCCTCCTACCTCTCAGATACGATTTATCTGCAAAAGGAGCTCTCAATACTGAGAAATGCTTTGAGTTCTTTTTCTGTGGACAAAAACCAATAAATCCCGTTTTGTTCAATCTTCTGAAAACACACAACTGCACATTATCGTTTTCTTTATTTCTGAATTGTTTCTTCAAAATCGCATATAAAAGTTTTCCCAAAAGCCCAGAATTCCGCCTGAGGCTGCAAGTATTTTGCTCACTCATCGCTCCTGAATAGACTATTAGATAAACGTGTTGAACATCAATGGACATCAGCACGAGGAACAATTCTTCGTGAAGGTCGCTCTTCTCGTCCCTCAACTCGTCGATTGGTCTTTGATTTTTGTTCCTGAAATTCTCAAAAATGCGATTTATGCTTGGTTCTGTTGGTTCTGTAGGCCGAGATTTTCCGGTCGAGCTTTAGATTTTTGTCTCTTTTTGGCTAATCTTAACGATTAAGCAAGGAGATAATGTATGTACAGTAGGGGGTCATAACTTTCGACACACCCCGCCCGTTATTTATGAAGGTGGTTTCGACTTGAAGAATGGATGACAGATAGGGTCTAACTTGGTTGGTTTTAAAGGCTAATTGATAGAGTTTTGGTTAAATCCCACTTTGATCGCTCGTGGACATGCGTTCTTCGGAGTGATTGTTAAAGAGAAGAGTTGAAAGCGCTGAAATGGAAATGAGAAATGCTCTCGGGCAGTATACGAACAGTATTTCTGTTGCAATAACATTTCACCCAATGTTTGATTGTCTTCATCATCTTCTATTTCAAGCCATTCAGTTAACATTCCCAAGTCGACTTTCCACAACCACAACAGCATCAGCAAAAGGAAAGCAAGAAGGAAAAAGGGAAATGAACACTTTTTCATTATTTACTGATATTTGTCCACAGAAAAGAACATACGACATTTATCGATTTTTGTCTATAGAAAGGAACATAACGAATTCATCAGAATTGAGAGCTCCTTTTGCAGACCAAACGAGACAGAAACATAGGAGGATAGCTGCACCATTTCCCATCGGGGCTCCAAGGCTGAAATGTGTTCATTTCTGATGGAAATCCTTTGATGAAACACTTTGCGTTATTTCACCAGAAGAAATTTCCTCAGATCGATCGAAATATTTTTGGATTAATTATGCATTGGAAATTCGAATAAATATTGATGATTTCACGTTGAAAATCTCACCGCAGCGTGGGTGTTCGAATCCGGGTGTCCCGATCTCCAATTCGTGAAATTCACCGAACTTCCATCCGTCCATTCAAAAGCATTCCCTTTCTTCGGATTTCTCTGTAAATAAAAATTTTTATGTTTCAATGTTGATGTGTCAACCAAATTTTTTTCCATTTGAAAACTATGCTAGTTTTTCAATTCAAATCAGGTTTCTATTAGTCTCTATCATTTCAGATTTCCATCAAAGAACTATCAGTCAAACGAATCTTTTGTCACAAAAAGCCTTCCTAAAATGCCTGAAAGAATTATTACTTTCCATATACTTATTTATGTCCTTCAATAAGAAAAATTCAACCTTCAGTCCGATCCAGAACGCCCATCCCTCATCCAGATCAACATTTTCTGCTGAAATAAATATCGATTGTTTTGGGTTTATGAAGCAGAAATCTCTACGAAAATCATCAATTTCCAGAATTGAATCATTTCGATTTCGTACCGAGTTTCTGAACAAAATCGTTCTCCTCCTGACTGTGAATTGAAACTAGATGGCTCTTTCGCCTCGCACAATATGCCTCGGCTTCATCAAATACCATCCATTGAGAGAAAAAAACCTTGAGATGGAGATAATCTTGGTTTACAACATCCACCAAACCTTGTACCAAGAAGCGGTTTTTGCCAAATACGACCATCGATTCCGACACAGATCCAAGAGATCCATGGTTCGATTTCTGAATTTCTTCGGAATCTTTCTGAATTTCTTCGGAATTCGGAAAACATTAGTCCAGATTCTCTAGACAAATACCCTATCCTTTTCCTTAAAAAAACCCACAAATCTGCCTGCAACTTCACCATTTCGGCCGTTTTGTTTTCCTGTTCAAGTTGTCTAGAGAGGAATTGATTGGAATGGATGTTTTAGGAATGAAAAACTGTTTTCTCAAGTCGCAGTCGACAAGAGATACAACTCACATTTGGGTTTCGAGGTCAGAGTTCTTGCTCTGCAACGCGGTGATTTTCCCTTCGAGCTCTCCAATCTTGGCTTTTCCGTCTCTCACTTCCGTTTTTTGAGTTCTTCTGAAAAAGTTCGCATTTTAACTATATATTGAGCTTGTCAAAAAAGAAAGTGACAAAATTAGTACAGTTGGGTTTCGAGATCGTCGTTCTTCATTTTCGTCTCGGCGACTTTCCTTTCCAATTCTCGATTGCTCTCCCTTCCATCAACCAAATCAGCGTCCAACTTTGCGTTTTTCCCCATTAAATCCGCCTCGATTTGAGCCATTTTTGCTGTCAATCGACTCATCTCGACGTCTTTGTCCTTCGTTTCGTTCCGCTTTCTTGCGCTGAATACTCAAATTACTCACTACTCAAAATCCAAAAAAGATGAGCTTGAATTCTTCAAGATTTTTGATTTCACCCACATTTCCCTTTCGAGTCCGCTGATTTTTCCTCGGGCCTCGACGAGTTCTTGTTGGGTTTCATTCCTGAAAAGTTTTATCATTGAGACACTCAAGCTCATTTCTTGTTTATTCTTTGAAATTCGCTCTATTGACTGGTTTGGTTGAAAACATAGCTCTTGAAGGGAAAAGAATACGTGAATTGATCCAATTGATCGCTTTGTTGAATCGAGGAAGAAATTTGATGAGAAAGAAGGAGAATCGTGATGACTAGACCGACGGTCATCACACCCATTCCGCTGAATTGGTTGATTCGTTTGGAATTCGGGAAAATGGGAAGAACGAATGAGGCGACGATGCGATCAACAAGTATTTTTTCGCGGAAAAGAGCCTTTAAGCGCGCTGAAATTGTTTAGAAAAGCGATCGTCTTCCAACTGACGATTGACTCATTAAGTCCTTGAAACAATCGCTTCGAATTGAACTTCGTGCAAAAAAAGTAGCATTTCGGGAAAAAGAAAGCCGTCAATTCGTGATGAATAAATCAGGAGACTACTTTCCGGGAAGGTCAACTGAATGTGCTGCCCAAATCACATGAGCCTTAGACCATTCGACGCAGAGTTTCACACTGATCATGATGCTTTTCTTTTGGGTTACACTCTTTCAAAAGTCATCAGCGTTTAAAGTTTTGTAAGGAGTTCAGAACAGGAGCGACAGTAAGGAGCGACATTAGAGCCCAGTCTTCCGCAGCAATGGCGGCGGTGGCCGAGTGGTGGTGAGTTAGAACGCAAGGCGAGGGCTCTCCGGTTTGAGTCCAGCGGCTGAATGTCTTTTTTCCTTTTCTTAAGTTTTAATGCCTTGTGGTACACCATTAATACAGATAAGTAGACCCGACCGTTCCCATCAAATCGCCACAATTGTTCCTCAATCCGCGCGGGAGAGGCTATCTATCTCCCCCACGGCGTAAACAATTTTTCCCTTTATAATGCAAATTTTAGAGCCTTTTTGATTTCTCTAACTTCAAAATTCAAAGCTGCTCAAGATGTCATCATTGTTGATTGTTGTTTCGGTTGTTCTATGTTTTTTAGGTTGTTTTGTGTTAAAGCAGAACATTTTTGTAAAAAGCATAGCTACACAAAGCTTCTCTAAAACGGGGATTGCTCAAGGCATTAAAATCTATAAAGAGAAAAAAGATGATCAGCTACCAGACTCGAACCTGAGAGCCCCCGCTTTGCCTTTTGGAACCAGCATCATGATCAGGGAATTTATCGAGGGCACTGAGACTGAGAAGCAATGAGTGAGAAATTTGGAGAGCATTTGAACTTGAGTGATGTTGATTCGGATGAGGAGTAGCTTTCTCAGATCAAATTTCTCAAATCGAACTCGGGACAAAGAAAGAAGATCACAAAAATCTTGAGACACCGAGGCATCAGGATGATGAGGTTGGTTGTAGAATCTCTGGAATCTTCCTTTCCCTCCTCGATGTCTTCAGAGCATCTCTTCTTTTTCCAAATCTCCAGAAATGCCCGAAATGACTGAAGAATTGCCTGAAAAGAGTGTTAAACACATAGAAGAACCGGTCATCTTGTTGAAGAAAATTGCCCAGCTCGAAGCCGATTTGTGGGTTTTTACCAAATCTTTGCCTCTATCAAAAAAAAGTCTTGAATTTAATTTTGAATTTTCTCGAAGAACAAGTGAAAATTAAAGGAAAAGGCTACTAAATAAGCAGAATTGATGAGAGAAGACCAAATCAAACAAGAAATTTGCTGCCAAGCAAAATACGGATTTCTTACCAAATAAAGAGAAAGGAGGGGAATGCTCGATTCCTTTAGTCATCATTCGTCAACCAAAAACAATCAATCTTCATTTCAAAACTGAAAACGAAAACTGCTACAAAACAACAATGATTTGGGGCAGGAAATAGAATGAGAATACCCGGATTTTCTCAATAATTTACCTATATTCCGACTACCATGATTAGAGAACTTTTATTAGTAACTTCCCCACAGTATTGCCTTTTTCCGTCATTTTCGAAATAGCAGACTCTTTGTGAAAAAATTTGTTTAGCTGATAGTTCTTTGATAGAACATAAAGTCGATTCTCGTTGGTCTCTATTATAAAGGCCTTTAGACACTGTCGTCACTATGCTTGACTCCTTATTTTTTATTTTTCAATCAAACTCTTGTACGCTTTGGAGATATTTTCTTGATTCTTGACGAAGTTCCATCAACATTTGATCAGCCTTAAACAAATTCGGGTCGAGACCCCTTTTCATTAAGACATTCGTTGCAGCTTCGGCACTCATTAAAGCCGCCTCGACTGTTTCCATTTGTCGAGTCATTTCGGGTAGCTCATTAAGATAGTCTATAGAAAAATTAGTGAGTGTAAAGAGAATTCATCTACCTCGAAATTGATTTTTCTGTTTGTTGACGTAGTACGTGGCATAGGTATGTGTACAAGTTGGACATTTGCCTTGATAGGCATTTGAATGCTCAGAAGTTTTCGGTCATGTCTTCAAACAGGATTCCATGCCAATCGAAGCCCACATTGAAGAGCAAACGATTTCTTCAAACGACTGAGAAAGTTTTTCGGTTGTGTAGATTGACTGACTCAATAAATTTGAACCAGACTTTTCTTATTTTAAAAGGCCCAAAGAGCCGAAACGAGGTTTTGAAGAAGCTGTCGGGTGGGAGACCAGAGCGTTCATTTCCCATTTGGCAGCTCCAAAACTGAAATGTGTTCACTTCTGAAGAAAAGAATTTTGTTTGGGAACTCGGTAAGAAATCGAAATGATTGAATTCTGGAAATTCATGATTTTCGTTGAAATTTATGCTTCATAAACCAAAAACAATCGGTATTTATTTCAGCGAAAACTGTTGATTCTTTGAATTGGTTCTGGTTCGGATTGAAGGTTAAATTTTTCTTATCGAAAGAAATAGATAAATAGAAAGTGATGGTTCTTTTGGCCATTTTCGGAAGGCTCTTTGTGATAAAAGATTCGTTTGACTGATGGTTTTTTGATAGAGATCATGCTTTGAATTGAAAAACTAGAATGGTTTTAAAATGGAAAAAGATTTGGTTGAAATATCAAGAGTGAAACTCTTTAGTAGAAATAATGGTTTTAATTGGAAAACTAGAGTAATTTCAATAACAATAAAGGAAAATTGGATCGAAATATCAATGTCTAAACATGAAAATTTCTTTATTCAGAGAAATCCGAACAATAGAAATGCTCTTGAATGGATGGATGGAAGTTCGGTGGATTTCACGAATTGCTATGGAAGAGAGCCGGATTCGAAAAGCCACGCTAGGGTGAGATTCTCAACGTGAAATCATCAATGTTTATTCCAACTTCCAATGCATAATTAATCGCAAAATATTTTGATCAATCTGAGGAAATTTCTTTTTGTGGAATAACGCAAAGTGTTTTATGAAAGGATTTCCATCAGAAATGAACACATTTCAGCTTGGGAGCCGCGATGGGAAATTGGCGGTCTCCTACCAATCTGCGTCCTTTTATCTGCAAAAGGAGTTCTCAATTCTGATGAGTTCTTTATGTTCTTTTTTATTTCTATGGACAAATAACAATAAATCTCATTTTATTCAATCTTCTGAAAACACACAACTGCACATTATCTTTCTCTTTATTTCTGAATTGTTTGTTCAAAGTCTCATATAAAGTTTTCCCAAAAACCCAGAATTCCGCCTGAAGCTGCAAGTATTTTGCTAGCTCGTCGCTCCCGAATAGACTATTAGATAAACGTGTTGAACATCAATGGAAATCAGCATGAGGAAACTGACAATTCTTCTAAACTAAACGAGTCGGGCTTTCTTCTCGAGAAAATCTCTAACAAGAGAATGTTATTTTTCCATAAAAAAGCCGCATTTTCTTTTTATTTTCCGTGATAAGAGATCGCTCTTTTTGTTCGGCAAATACTAGCTATTAAGGAAAAGAACTGTGTCTTTCTTAATGATTTTCGATTGCAATTTTTTATTAAGTAACAATCAAATTAATTAAGATAACAAACGTTAGAATCAATACATTTTTTCCAATGAGTAGCCAGTTTTTCGACCCTGCTGCAAAAAAGTCGGGCTGTCTGGAGGCGATGAAGTCTTCGATAGCATTTTTCACCTGTTTTGTTCTTGAGAATTTCGTCTACGATGTAACGATCGAGATGCTTGTAAAAATAAAAATGATTACATTTCTTCGATGTTTTCAATATAAATGTCTGAATTTATACTTTTTCCCGTTGTGAGCAAAGTATAATGAATGACGCTCTTTCTATACCACCAAACAGGGAGCATCACCGTCTTTGGATGAAGATCGGGTTTCGGGAAAACGCAATTATTTTCCGTAGTACCTAATAAACTTCTTGACTGATTTTTGTCTTCTTTAATCAAATATTCAGCAAAAAGGCAAATCAAGAAAAGTCTGGTCTCAAATTTATTGATTTTGGTCAATCTGCATAATCAGAAAACTCCTCAATAAGGGAATCCCAATGAATTCTCAGCCAATTCCTGTAAATCTTATTCATCATATCGAACTTACGGGAAATTTCAATCGCTGAATCGAATGGGCGACAACAACAATCGGAAACAGAGACAGTGCAGTGATAAATGAAACATTTTTTGTGAGTTTGTTCTTCGGAGTCAAATAATCCAATTGTTCTTCGGAGTCAAATAATCTGGCTCCTTCTTGACGATAATTGCTGAATGCCTCTTTAGGCGTGCAGTCAATCAAAACCAAAGGGAAGACGAACGCTGTTTTACACATAAATGGCTCTTTCTTAGGACCGCTTGTGGTTGGGTTGGGTGGAATTGGGTGAAACCCACCCATTGTCCATCTGTCAATTCAAAAGAGACGATGATGGGTCGGGACTGTGAGATGGCAATCCACGCCTTGACTTTTTCGCCACAAAGATCGTCCAGCAAAGATTGCACGTTGTTTAGACTGACCCGTGTTCTTTGTCGAATCCACTGCTAACACTCATCCGATTACATCAGTAATTTCACATCAAATTCAGAAAAGTCAGTCAAATTCTCAAAAGTCCTTGATCATAAAATGAGCATTTCATTTCCTAGGCCATACATGATACATATAAATCTAGGTCGGGATTCTCAACAAATCTTCTGACCTCCGCAAGATTGCAAAATCTCAATCATCAAGCTATAACATTATGACATTATGAGTTTTCTTGTGACGACCTTTTCTTTTTCATCTCAATTTCTCCTCGATTTCACCCTTCTATGATCATCTTTCATCTTTTTCGGGTGATTTGTAAATTTCAAGTTAAGGA